CAGAGCCAACAGAAAAGGCAAAGAGTTGAGGTCTTGAAGTCCACACTGGAAGACACGCTGCGTGGAAAGAAGGCAGTAAGAGGCTTGCAGGGCTCAGCAGCTGAATTTTCCTTCAGGCATCCCAGGATTTTCTGCACTAAGTCCTGTTTAACCAAGCTCCCCGTCCACACCCAACCCAGCGGTTATAACAATTAAGCTAATTAAGCTGCTAGGGCACGATTATCTTGCACCACAACTGATGGCACATAGCTGGTGCCTTGGTCAGAACAAGAGCTGCAGATGGCCAAGCCAAGTTCCAGCCCGAGCAAGGGCTGGCAGAGCTAAGGGGGGTCAGGAGGAGTGGGACAGGCAGCTTTTGCAGGGCTCGTACCCCTCACAGGGGTCCCACAGCCCCCCAGACCCCCCTGGGCTCCGGGACACGGCTGCCTCCAGAGCCACGCGGCGCCTGGGCGGGCTGGGCACCCTCCGTCGGGGTATTTTTAAAAAAGAATAAGAAAGGAGCTTAAGCCTGTAGGGGGGAGTCACAGGAAATAACACAAATATTTGTATAGAAATAGTAGGCTCTTGGCTGTTGTTCGGATCTGGAAATTATTAAAGGGTGAAGACAAACATCTGCCATCAATTAGCAAAGAGGGGGAATAACAAAAACTCCACTGTGTCACTTGAAAGCTGGGCGCTGGTGTGCTTTTCCTCCCTGATTTGTGGATGCGGGTGTGCCTGCCTCTGCCGGAGCCCTACAGAACATTGGCTTCAAGTGAACAAAAAGCTCTGCAAGCATGGAGCCCCTTCTGGGGGTCTCCAGTGGGATTTAAGGGTCTCGGGGTCTGAGGCCCTCCGTCAGCAGGTAATTAGCTATTGCTAAGTTGTGTCACAGGGTACAAAGAGCAAAGGGAGCTCTCTGGTGCCAGCAGTGCCACCCGGGCACTCCGCGCAGGGGGAAGGGAAAGGGTGAGGATGCTCCTTCTTTATTGCTTTACATCAATGTACCTGCTGCAAAGCTTGCTGCTTCTTAAGAGCCTGGCTTCCAGATTCTGGAGGCATCCAGCCAGGGTGGTCAAAAGCCCCCAGAACATGTTCTAGAAGTGAAGGGATGGTGTGGGTCTGGGGGCTGTGAACCCACTCTTCTGCACCCCAGCACAGAGAGCGGGGTGGCTCAGGCACTGCCCATGGGGTGAGCCCTGTGTCCCAGCAGCAGAGTGAAAGCCCACCTTTCCCACCACGGTACTGCTGGGCCACCACGGTGCTGCTGGGGCGCAGGGCCCAGAACTGGACCCAGTTCTCCAGCTGTGGCCCCCCCAGGTCAGAGCAGAGGGGGAGGATGACCTCCCTTGACCTGCTGGCCATGCTTTTTTTCATGCCGCCCAGGAGACCACAAGGGCACATTGCTGGCTCATGGGCAACTGGTTGTCCACCAAGGACTCCCAGGTCTCTCTCTGCAGAGCTAAACACTAGAGTTTCAGGTGGGGGGATTGTCCCCCTGTACTCGGCACTGGTGAGGCCTCACCTTGAGTACTGTGTCCAGTTTTGGGCCCCCTACCATAAAAAAGACATTGAGGTGCTGGAGCGGGTCCAGAGAAGGGCAACAAAGCTGGTGAGGGGTCTGCAGAGTAAGTCTTATGAGGAGAGGCTGAGGGAACTGGGGTTATTCAGCCTGGAGAAGAGGAGGCTGAGGGGAGACCTTCTTGCTCTCTCCAACTACCTGAAAGGAGGGTGTAGAGAGGTGGGGGTCGGTCTCTTTTCTCAAGTCACAGGCGACAGGACGAGAGGAAATGGCCTCAAGTTACACCAGGGGAGGTTCAGGCTGGATATTGGGAAAAATTTTTTCACGGAAAGGGTTCTCAGGCATTGGAATGGGCTGCCCAGGGAGGGGGTTGAGGCCCCATCCCTGGAGGTGTTCAAAAGAGGGGTTGATGTAGTGCTGGGAGGTATGGTTTAGTGATGATGCTCCTTGTTTGTTGTGTGGGTGTCTATTTTTGTCAGTGAGGTTGACGGTTGGACAAGATGATCTTGAAGGTCCCTTCCAACCTAGAAGATTCTGTGATTCTGTGATTCTGTCCCATCCAGATCCATGAGCATGGTCTTCTTCTGCAGCATGGAGACCACTCAGAGCTGGGCTTCTGGCAGAGCTGGAGTAATACCACTTTGGGAAAGGAGGGGGGCAGTTTTCACAGGGCTGTTTTCTCCACAGAGTGCCCGGAGGGGACGTTCGGGGCGGGCTGCCGGGGGTCCTGCCCCTGTGGGGGAGCACCCTGCGACCGGAGCTCGGGGCAGTGCCTCTGCCCCCCCGGCCGGACCGGACACGACTGTGGTCAAGGTGAGGAGGCAACAGCAGCACATGCCCCGAGGTAGGGAGTTAGGCGTACGGCTCTTCTTTTTCTCTTGCTAAAATTAGGTTTAAAAAAAACCCAAAAAACCCATCTAGTGCGATTTAGGATCATCTTCATGGAAAATCAGAAAAAAAAATAAAATGCAGCTTTTGATGGTAAGTCTTAAACAATAGCCTGAGCTGGCTTAGCCCTGGCGTTGAAGCTGAGTGAAATACAAGCAAATACAGGCAATAAAAATGATGAGGATATTTTCAGTTGTTGCAGTCCTTGAGGTAGGAAAGGAGACTTTCTTTCCTGATGGGTATTTTTAATTGCCTTCACTATATTACTCTTTTAACTGCTGAAAACCCAGAGAATCCTAAATTAAAAACTTTTACATGATTATACAGTATCCCAGCAGCTGGAAGATATTAGTCATCTATAGATGTCCTGCTCCTAATAGCTTGAGTGAGCAATAAAACCACACATGCACAGTGCTCACCGTACATCTTGAGCTGACTCTTTTCCAGGTCCTGGAGCAGTTAAGCAAGGATTCTTGCCCTGTTTTGCTCAGTTCTTAGCCTTTTGCTTCTCCTTTGCAACTCAGGGCAGAGCTGGGAGCGCTCACTAACACGCTGTGGGGTGGTGGGACCACAGCTGTGGAGACCCTTTGCCAGCCGCCCCATTTCCTCACGAGGAGCTCCCCAGGAGTAGATGCGAATCCAAAATTGACATGGAAGTACTGGAGTGAGACCAGAAGAGCACTTACCAGGGCTCACAGGCTGTTTGTAAAACAAACAAGGCGATGTTGTCCTTGCTCGTAGCCACGTGTTGCCAAACAAAAGTCTGTGTTTTGCACAAACGTGAAGGAGTTTGTGGGGACCCATCGCTGGGAACTAGAAAATAGAGATTTCCCTCTTGCTCCGTGGTGGTGATCCTGATGCTTGTGTGTCCTCTCTCTCCACCCCAGCTTGCCCTGATGGCCTCTGGGGACTGGGCTGCCAGGAGATCTGTCCTGAGTGTGCCAACAACGCCAGCTGCCACCCGGCCACCGGGACCTGCCTGTGTCCCCCCGGCTACACGGGCTCCCGCTGCCAGGATGGTGAGTGCTCTCTGTCCCTGGGTCCCTCACGGCCATCTCCAGCTGGGATGAGAGGTTCTCCCGTGCACCTGGAGAACCTGCTGTCACCAGCAGAGCATCCAGGTACCCACCAGGCACCACGGCACTCATCAGAGCCTGTGCACGGTGCGGGTGTCTCACACTGTGGGACACGGGCTGGGTTGACATCCCTCTAGTCCTGTCTTCAGTGGTAGCTTTTCCATGGGTGGAAAGGGAGATAAAACCCCAAGTTCTTTGACCTTCTCAGCCCAGAACTGAGGGGCCACGCTGGGTTGAGGAGCATTGATGGCTCTGCAGGAGCAGCCTGTGGCACCTCCTCTGGTCTGGTGGGAGGGAGGGGATCCCTCGCCGCGATGTCGGGGGCAACCTTTGCAGATAGTCCCTGTCCCCCCCTTGGCAGTGTGTCCCCCCGGCTGGTTTGGCCCCGATTGCCAGCTGAGCTGCAGCTGTGGGAACGACGGGCATTGCCATCCTGTGACGGGGACGTGCAGCTGCCCCCCGGGCTGGACGGGCTACAACTGCCAGAGAGGTATCGTATTGTCATCCTTGGGGCCTAAAATTTGCTGAGCTGGGCAGGGCTGCGCTGTGATTTGCTTCGCTGTCACCTTCGTGCTGGAAAAATCTGAAATCTGCCCCATCCCTGCAAGTGTTTAAGGCCAGGCTGGATGGGGCTCGGAGCAACCTGCTCTAGTGATGTCCCTGCCCACCGTTGGAACTTGATGAGCTTTAAGGTCCCTTCCAACTCTAACCATTCTATGATTCTATGAAATCCTTTGGGTTTCTCCACTCTGTCCTGCCAGTGCCACTTGCTTTTCTGTGTGCAGAATGAATTCTCACCAAATATGCCCAATGTAGCACCCGCTCTCACTTCCCTGATGGGTTTTCTGGGGACCCACAGCCATGTTTGTCCTCCTGACAGAGGGGCTGATTGGGACAGGACAAGAGGAAACGGGCACAAACTTGACCATAAGAAGTTCCACCTAAACACAAGGAGGAACTTCTTCCCTTTGAGGGTGGCAGAGCCCTGGCAGAGGCTGCCCAGGGAGGTGGTGGAGTCTCCATCTCTGGAGATGTTCACACCCCACCTGGACATGTCCCTGTGGGACCTGCTCTGGGGTAGCAGGGGGTTGGAGGAGATGATCTCCAGAGGTCTCTTCCAACCCTATAGCGTTCAGTGGTTCTGTGAAATAACACCTAGGGGAGAAGGTAGCATGGTGCCCACCTGGTGCTCAGAGGCTCCCCTTGCCCAGCTTCGCCGGCGAGCACCTAAGGTGCTCGAAAAGCTCACTATAAGGTCTCTCAGCCTGTCCTCACAGCTGAGGGGCTCCAGCCCTTGGAGCATCTTTGTGACTTCCTCTGGACCTGGAGAAGAGAAGCTCCAGGAAGACCTTCGAGCTCCTTCCAGTCTCTAAAGGGGCTCCAGGAAAGCTGGGGAGGGACTCTTGATGAGGGAGGGGAGCCATAGGGCAAGGGGAAGGGTTTGACACTGAAAGAGGGGAGATGGAGATGAGATGTGGGGAAGAACTTCTTTGCTGTGAGGGTGGTGAGAGCCTGGCCCAGGTTGCCCTGAGAAGCTGTGGCTGCCCCATCCCTGGAGGGGTTCAAGGCCAGGTTGGAGGGGGCTTGGAGCAACCTGGGCTGGTGGGAGGTTGCTCCAGGGGCAGGGGGTTGGAATTTGATGATCTTTAAGGTCCCTTCCAGCCCAAACCATTCTATGCTGGCTGCTGGCTGCTCTGCTCACGTATAAACCCAACCAAAGGATCCAAAGGATGCAGATTTGTTCCCCAGCCAGGAGCCTTCTCCCTGTAAAGGGAGCGGAGGGAGGTGGGGTGCAGATTTCTCCATCACTTCTTCATGGTTGAATCCCCATGCCCTGCCTGTGACGTTGCCAGCCCAGTTCTGTCCTGAGGGTGGTTGGTGACACCTCTGTAAGGGGCAGGGTAGAGCCCACTAGGTGTTATAAAAAAGCCAGATACTGTTATTTCTCCTCAGAGCCTGAGCTCCTGCCTTAGCGTAGCCTCCTGGGGACACCAGGACGGGACAGGCTCCTCAATCTCCTCTGCTTCTGCTCACCAGAGTGCCCACAGGGATGGTTTGGGCTGAGCTGTCGGCACCAGTGTCAGTGTGACAACGGGGCTGCCTGTGACCACGTCAGCGGGGCCTGTACCTGCAGCCCGGGCTGGCGAG